GACTATCATCTTTAAGATACTGACAATTAGAAACTGGATCATGCTTCAATTCTTTATGTGACATGAACAGCTTGAGGCCCCATCCATTTTCATTTCTGCTTTCTCTCACTCTTTCCTTGTATTTATCTGCTGTTGAGTCTCTAAAACGAATAACTCCCTTCTTATGATTCTTATCCTCCAGTTGATTCAGTAGTTCTATAGTAACTTTTCCTTGAAATGGCCACTCCAATGTATCATCATATTCTCCTGCCATGAGACATATGAAGCAAGAGACATGTGTGCCTTCACCTTCACCATTGCCATTAGCATCAACATTTAATGACATCTTATATCCTCCAGGAGAAGTGTAGAAGCCTGGGCTGTACCACTCTTCTTTTTCTTCTTTCTTTTCTGTGAACTGATTTAGCTTAATGACTTGATTCGTTGGAAGTAGTACCTCAATCTTCTTCATTGCTGCCTTCAGATGTTGTTTCATTGATTCTTCATTGTGCTCTTCTTGTTCTTCTCTCTTTATTTTCTTCTTCCATCCAACAGTATTGTATTCACATCGTATGATAGCTTTAGGGCAGGCCTCCTTGTGTGATGATAATGATTGTCGTGGTATTTTTTCATTGTAACCATCATTACTGCATTTGATTGGGAGGTCAGGACACTCATCAAAATGACTGCTGCTTGTTATCAGTTGGTAATGACCTTTTTGGTTGCAATACTGACAAGTAACCATACGTTTAGTACAGTTGTCTGTCAGATGTGTCTCCAGTTCACTTCTCCTCATCTTCTCTCCACATCCATTGGTGCAAGGTACCAGTTGATAGGTACAACTATTAAGATGAGTATCAATACCCTTAATAGTCCCCATCCATTGGCACCCACTATCAGTGTTAGTGCAATAAACCTTAAGTGACTTTATTCCCCTTTCTACTCTTCCATCTTTAAAGTACTTTCCTTTTAGTGAGCTACGACAAGTTGGGCAGATAAACCCTTGACCCTTCTTCTTTAGCATATCCAGACAGCTCTTACAGTATATATTAGAGCAGCAGGTAACTTGTTGAGGATCCCGTGCTACCAGTGTACAGATGTGGCATAGATACTCATTGGGAGGATCATCA